ATGTAATATATCCATATGTACTTTGATATAGATAGATGATAGAAAGATAGATAGATAGATAGATAGATAGATAGATAGATAGATAGATGATAGACAGATAGATAGACAGACAGACAGACATAGAGATAGATTATTATCCAGCACATTGAATAAAAATTCAATGTATAAGTACAAAGAAAATGGAAACAAGGTTGGGGAGACATCTTCTAGTTTGGCAAAATGCAAACCTAGTCAATGCATTTGGAAGCCAGTGCAGTGGTGGAAGACAAATGTTTTCATAGATAAAACTGTGAGTGTAACATCAAATGTGTACACACTGTTTTAGCCTAGAAAAGAACCTCTGCAACAGTACATTAATTAAATAAACATACCATTCTATTGATTTAACCATGCTATTTGTTATATTTTAATGAAATTGTGTTACAGCTGTAGAGACACAAATCATTTAAGAAAGCGTGTGTGTGTGTGTGTGTGTGTGTGTCTGTGTGTCTGTGTGTGTGTGTTCCATTGACAAACTAGAAGGAATTAAAAATTTAATAACACTTTAATGAGAGAGAGTTAATCAACTTTGCTCCATATGTACTCAGAGGTTGAGGTGAGATATCTAAAAGTACAGGCTTCATCTTTTTACATTTCAAATGGGCTCAATGTCTTTCAAAAAACAACAAGGTGTTTTCTTCTCTGTCTACTACACCTCTATGGTAAAAAAAAATAACAACTTTTAAATAATAGGCTGATTCTAATTCCCAAGAAGTAAATAATTACTAAAAACATTATTTTCTCTAAGGCAAATTTTGATGGAAGTCAATTGTTCACAACTTTAAAAACACAGGTGCAAAGCTACATAGGAAAGAAGAGATGGCTTCATGATCTACACATCCTTGATTCAGAGGTGACAATTGTTAAGCACCACCCTTCCAGAATTTACCCTGTTAAGTTGATTAGCCTAACAAACAAGGAAGAAATGGATTCTGTCTTGTGCAATGCTAACACAGCTTTGCTCCTAATGAAACCAAACCTCAAAACATGGACCCCACTACTTTTGACTGCAGCTACCCATCCCAGCAGAGCTGCTCTCTTCTTCATAGAAAATGAAAGGGAAAATTGAGGTAGTCATGTTGGTAATGTAGGTGAAGAAAGAAATATCCAGATTCTTGAAGAATAAAGGAACTGGAGCTTAAAATCATACTTCTCAATTTCCCTTCATGGGGGTTTAAAAATGAAGACACTTAGCGGGAATTTCTAAGTGTTATGTCTAGTACCAATGAGCACAACTCCACCCCCAGCCCAAACCAAGTCTTTCCTTGCTGTTTGAGAAAAGTGCATTAGTCGAGGCTGTTTTATTTCTCTTGCGTTACTCTCTAGTGTGTAACTAACTGTTCCAGCTTTGACTGATACAGTTTGCCCAAAAGCTGTCAGGCAACGCATGCTCACAAACATGAAAATATAATGTTTTATCTGGTTTCCATTTACCCTGAGCCTGTGCCAGAGACGGGCTGCATCTTGTAGCATAAAGGTAACAAGCTATCAACAATTCTAGGTCTGTATTCTCCAAGAACTAATTTGGGATCCTCTACTCATGATCCCTTATATCTAGATAGTATTTTAAACTACTCTAACAGTGTTGTCAAATTTCCTAACATGTTTTATGCATGCATTTTCTAATATCCCAGACTTAGTAGGGACTTTTGCATCTGTGTGATATATCCAGTCAGTTCAGAGCCTGAGTGGAACAAAAAGCAAGAGGAAAAATTTCCTTCCTTATTGCCTTTCAAGCTTTGACTTTATTTCTGTCTTGCCTTTGACTTGATGTGAGACATTAATTCTTCCTGGGTCTGGGTTATGCTTTCTGATTGCAGCTACACCATCAGTCTCCCTGGAACTCACCTTCCCTACAGCAGGTTTTGCATTTGTTCAGACTCCACAAGTACCTGTCAATTTCTTTTTAAGAACTATATAACTTTCTATTATATATATATATATAATAGAAAGTTATATAGTTATATATATAATCACATTACTTTCTATTTTGTATGTAAATACTGTTCTTGTGCATCATTATTTATGAACTATATATGTTAGTGTTTCTTCTTTCCCATAGAATTCTGAGGAATATTTAATCTTATCCCTGCATTTGTTTTGTTTGCTAACCAAGTCTTAAAGTTCTTTTCCAATGTATAAATTGATATGGTATGGTGATATTGTGTTCCCCAATAGATTGTGCACCCTAATAAACTTATCTGGGGTCAGAGAGCAGAACAGCCACTAGATATAGAGACCAGAAAATGGTGGCACACATGCCTTTAATCCTAGCATTCCAGAGGCAGAGATCCATTTGGATCTCTGTGAGTTCAAAGTCACACTGGAAACAGCCAAGCATGGTTCAAGCCTTTAATCCCAGGAAGTGATGGCAAGAAGCAAAAGGGTACATAAGGCGTGAGGACCAGGAACCAGATCCTTGTTAAGCTTTTAGGCTTTTAGCAGCAGTTCAGCTGAGATCCATTTGGATGAGGACTCAGAGGCTTCCAGTCTGAGGAAACAGGATCAGCTGAGAATTTGGCAAGATGAGGTGGCTGTGGCTTGTTCTACTTCTCTAATCTTCCAGCATTCACCCCAATACCTGACTCCAGGTTTGTTTTTATTAACAAGACCTTTTAAAAATTCCTGCCACAATATGGTTTGTGTTAAAGGTTTCCCCACTTGCAAATAATTGAATTGTCTCATTGCCAAAAGCAACTGATCTATGATCAGCTTAATTTTTTTACTTATTAACATGGAATGAAAGTATATAAGTTCAGGTTCTCCATTCTCTCATAATTTTCTCTGGCCAAGTAATGTGAGAGTTCAAGAAACTATGCTTTATATATCTTCACATCAGGCATTACCCTTTAACTTCTGCTCTGGTCTGGCTTCTGATGGCTCACTGCTGAGGCTACACAGAGTGACATTATGTGTTCCACATCTCCCCCAAGAACTCTCGTAGCAGTGGTACTCCATAAGCTAGTTCCTAGGACTGGAGAAGTCCACACCATGCTCAGAAAGAATGGATTCTCCCTGAGTCCTGAAAAGGAGTTCTCTTTAATCCTGTGTCACTTCTTCGCCTTCCCTAGGGTGGACAAATGCCTGTTGGAACCTGGTGGATCTGTAGTTACACAGAAGCTGAGTTCCTTTCCTTTCCAGCTTTTAGTACACCCACCAAAGTATGAAAGTCCATCTTCGTCAGAGCTCAAGTTCCAGGCAAAGGGTAGATCCTTCCTGACAGAATGTTAGTGAGGGACCCCAAATCAGACCAGTGGCCAGGTACTAGGTGCTGCTAGGACAGACTTCATCTGTCTATAGATATCACCCTCCTTCCATGTTGAAGCTTAGTTTAGAGTCACTCTTTCTCAGCATTCATGAAAAAATAAGGATATAGAGAGTAGAAAAAAGAAACATCATCTTAAATAAACAAGTAATATCTTCAAAATACTCATAATTATTTTATTAATTTTGTACATGTCATCAGACCTTACCCCTGACACTCAGAAAAAAAAACAGTTTGAGGTATTAAAACTGAAAAGACATTTGCACATATTTATAAGGCCTTCCCACTACAAAAAACAAATAAAAAACTGAGTGTAACTAAACAGAACCTACATTTTGGGGGTTGTGAGGGAAAGCTGAATGAAGTGAACCTTGCTAATTGCTTTATAGCTCTTCTTCTCTCATTCATGATAAAAGGGCAGCAAAAGGTAATATGAGACTTAAGTTGTTTCCAAAATGATGTGTGTTGATTATTTAGTTCTATGAAATGAAGTGTAGGATTCAAAGGTCAAAAGCTGAAGCAATCCACTCAAGCTAAGCACTCTTAGCACTCCAAAGGCAAAGAGTTCAAACAGACAAACCAGCTTCAGTGATCCAGTGTCTGATTCTCAGAGCTTCAGTTTGAATACCTACTTACCCTGGACATCTGAGATAGATTCATCACAGTATTTCAGTATTGTGCGTGTCCACAGAGGGTCATACAATATGATGGTCAGCTAATCATGTTAACACAGATGGAGGGCAGAATCAAAGACGAGATTGACTTTTTAAGTGATTTAATTTTTGTTTAATGTTGAAGAAATTATCCAGGATTTGTTTTTCCTGATCCTATTTCACTTTGTGCTCCCACCTTGAAATAGGAAAGTTGAGGTAATTATATAACTAATTATTGTAATATAAACACTTGCTCCTGAAATATTCAAGCAAATTGGAGAAAGGGCGGTCCTTTAACTTGGTGGTTGATTTAATTATTATATTAATTTGCAGTGTACATACTTCACTTGAAGCAAATCTAAAACTGGAATATTGATTTATATATTGCATATTAAAATCTGTCCTAAATAATGGGGTCACAAATGATAGTTGGGACATCAGATTTCTACAGTTAATACAGCACTACCAGTAGCTGCACACACCAGGCTTTGGTGTTTGTCATTGAATTCTTTTATTTGTTCAGTTGCGGGAATAATTTGAACATAAAAAAAAAATCACTGTGACTTTTATATTGCTTTTGTGTTAAACGTGTATTGTTTAAAAATTGGCTTTAAAATATTTTTGCAAAACTGTTAAAGGATCAAATGCTCTCACTATTTCATACTAGGGGAAGCTACTGTTCATTCCATACTGAGCATAACATCTAAAAAAATGACATGTTATAAAGAAAGCCCCTTTGGACCATTTATTTCCCCACTTGGCATAAAAAGCTTAGGACAAAGGAATGACATTTTCATGTTGGCTCCTAAAATGTTCTGCAAACTTCCCTTGATCTGCATGTCCTCTTTGTTCTGGGATAAAAAGGATGCTGGCTTGTTAGAAAACTCTAATGGGAGCATCATGCTTGTATGGTGCTGACAATGTCCTCTTCTTAGGCAATGACTTCTAAATCAAGAATAGCCTTTCCATAGTGCCCTTGCTGCTGGACACACAGAAGCTGAGTGTTCACCTGGCAGAAGGGCCAGCCTGTGCTGATGTTCTCATATGAACCAGGACCAAGGTCTCACAGCCATTTGTATTCAAAAGAATAAGTTGTTTGGGATACTCTGTATTCTTTGGACATTAACAACAACTTTTACTATTTGTTTTCTAAATGCATTTCCCAAGAGTATTTTAGTTTTGTTTGGTGTTTTCTTTTTAAATAAGTGTCATCAGGAATAAAAATCAACCCATGACACAAGTAAGTCAATAGAAATAGTAGTTAAAACTCAGGTGCCCCATTAAAATGTTGCCTTAAGCTGGAATTACCTGTAATAAAACAAAAGTAACTTCCATTTTGGGAACAGATACACAATTTAATATTGTTGTATTGGGCTTAACTACGTAGCAGAAAATGCAACAAATTCATTTTTCCCCTGTGCTTACATTTACCTCTTACATGAACAATCAACAGAAATTACAAATAATGTGAGAAATGACTGACCTTTTAATATCTACGTCCTGAATATTTGTATTTATTGTCAATGTTCCCATTGCTAATAGGAAAATAGTTGGCCACCTACACAGGTGGCAGTAGCAACATCATCAAAATTCTTTCACTATCTTAACACTCATGAGCTACAGCCTGAAGTATATCTAAACTAAAAAAAAAAAAAAAAAATCTCAAATGTGGCTGGCATTCAATTTAGATGGATTTCTGACCACAGTCACATGGAGTAGTCAATGAAGCCTTCTTCTGGGAGCAGAGCCAGTCCTTGTCACTCAAAAACAGGATTTCTCACACCATTCAATACCAAGCTGCTGGATCCCTTTCTGTGTAGCAGGGTCAGTGAGCACAAGAGGAGGGAGAAGCTCATGACTCCTAGAATGACCATTCCTGATATCAGTGAGCTGGTGATGGCATTCAGCTGGAAGGGAGGCACATTCAGGGAACCTGTAAGAATCGTACACACTGTTATAATGTCTTCAAAATGTATTTGTCTCACCGTCATCCACTTTGTTCCTACAGATTATCCCTCATCACCCTCTCACAGCATCACACTGGAGTATGCAGTAGCCTATTAACTATATTTCAACCCAAGACTTAAAGTATTGTATAGATTAGAGTTTGATATCCCACAAACAGGCAGAACAAACCAAAATAAAAGTTAAAAATTAAAAATTCTATAAAAATTGACCAATACATCACATTATGGGTTTAAAATTCCTCTGTGAACTGTTAATTTAAAATGCAGCCAACTTGTGAAACTAGATCTCATTACGCTAGCTGACTACAGTTTCATAAAACAGATCACCAAAACATCTTGAAACATTACAAATATTTATTTGCTAATTATCTTACCAAGCTGTGAATTGTTGGTTGGAGTCTCATCTGAGGAGAGATAAGAGAAAAACAGAAGTGAAAATGTCTCCCCAAATATTTGTTTTTTTGGATTCTAACTGCATGATTTTGAAACTTCACCCTACTTATTTTCTTCACCAACCCCTTACCCAAGCTACATGGACAACTCATGAATGAGACATTCTGTTTTTATATTTCCTACTCCCCATGTACCAGATTTCATCCTCAAATCTACAAACAAAAAAAATCACAAAATATATTATACTGTATTCTTTCCTGCCAATGTTGTTTCATCATGTTCTCTCTGCCAGGTTAGGAAGGGCAGTAATTGTTAACAGCTATTACATTTTTATGGACTTATAACCTGCCATTTGTTATTCTGTTACAGAGAAATATTCATTATTTCGTGTCACTCTATTTCAAGTGTTGCCAATTTGCCTGATATAATCTGCAAGAACATCATTCTGTGATCCAAGATGATATATTTACTCTTAATAACTAAATAAAAGGCCAACTGGACTCCCAAGCTTGAGCTGAGGTTCTCTTTGTATCTGCTAAGTGGAAGACTGAAGCAGTTAATTTCCATTTTTCCTTAGTGGACATGACAGAAGCAGTGAGCACACTTTCTAAGTTTGCCCATTTTTATTGAGCAATTTGCAATCATGTTAAAATTAACCTTTAAACTGGCAACCAGAGTATTTCATATTCATGTTAACATGTACTCGTGTGTTTGTGGTTGTTATTTAAATCATAAGATATATACAGTTGACTACAGATTATACACATTTTTACAATTAATGCATGTGTAACTGTGTAGAACCATGGAGTTCATAAAGCGCTACTTCATGTGCTGTCACATATAATCCTCATGATAGCCCTGTGGTTTAGATATTATTGCTACCCCCATTATATACCTGAGGAAACTTCCTGTGTCATTGCCTCATGGCAAAGTATTGATATGTTAAAATCAATACTGCAGTTCAGAGTCTTTTTATCTAAACTAATATAAACTAAGTATAGAAAATAATTCATAGACTGAAATATTAATCTCCATAATCAAAAATATTTTCTATACTTGGCTTTGGGGGATTATTATAAAATATCCAATTCTATTTCTTTTCAGATACTTGACTGATAGCAAAAAACACAGCTATGTTATCAGGTCCTGAAATACAGATTTCAAAACTAATATGGCACCCACTCAGGGAACTCTTTGCAATGCACATCGGCAATCATTTTGGGGATGCTTTACAATGTGCATTGGTACTCACTCAGAGGATGATTTACAATGTGCAGTGCATTGTAATAGGACAAAAAAGAAAAATGTCACTCACAAGAACATCCTAACCTCTTTCTAACAATATAACCTCTTTCTCTCCATATAAAGGTACTTCCTTTCTCATGGAAATAAATAGGATGAATGGACTGTGGCGATTCATCCAAAAGACATCAATGTCCTGTGCACTAGATAATCTGGAGTCTTTTTTATACATTCTTTTGGGGGGTACATTTAATTCCTTTAAGATTGCTTTGAATAAAAAGCTCCATTCCTATGAAGTGTCCAGAATGAGGCAGAGATGCTATGACTAGATAACCCCTCCCTGATACACATACACACATCCTACACACTAGTTTCTGCATCCTGAGGTTAAAAGAATATCAAAACAGCAGATTTATGATATTCCTATTACAACCCACTACTGAAAAAGGTAATATTCTGGACACTCCCATGAACACTTTGCTATGGACATAATGTCCTGTGGGTTAGGACCAAACCCCTCATGTCAAGTGAAAACACTAGTTCCAGGTTCCAGAGCAGAAAAGATGAAAGCATTGCACTGCTGTAAAATGGCTGAAATTAAACCACGTACTGTTTGAACGCAGTTTGAAATTGCATTTGAATTATAGATTCTGATAGAGAATTGCCTTTCTGTTTGTTGTTGATGATATTCTCTAATTTATTGTGTTGTTGTAATAATAAAAAACAAAACAAAACAAACAAACAAACAAACAAAAAACACTGTCTAGCCCCGAAGAGGAAGCAGATGAGCAGATGTTTTCCTGGAGTGTTAGGTCACCACCCGCTTCTGTGTTCCACTCCACTCCTTTTGGTCTTGCAGTGTACATATATGCTAAAAGAAAGGCATGAAGCCTGAAGGAATTAGATAAGTTTCAATATTAAGCTCAGTGAGCTCCTCAAAAATATATACAGCTGTCTGAGGATTCACATTCGAGAGGCAACACAGTAGCAGTACCACAGCTGTTTAAGCCAGAAATAGCATATACATTGCTACTACGTGTTTTCCTCTCCTCTAAAAAGCTGTACTATTAATTTAAAAAATATAAACATTACTCACTGGAAAGATATACACAGAATAAATATTCCCCTTATCTCTATCAAACTTTAAAAAAAAAAGTTTAATTACCTATGCTGTAAAAACGAACCCTTTATTTTACGCTTTAAAAAGCACTGAACTTTTAAAAATTCCCTTTGTATAATGCGGGTTAATAGTCTAGCCCTGAACTCTACAGACCTTAAGAGCAACATCATGGCTTAGTTTCTAGCAGAGTGCCTGTCCTATGCACAGACTAAATATGTGTGTTTTTATGAATTATTAACTACCCATAAAACTCAAAGATGCTACTTTTAACAAGGGTTTGGCTTTGGATTACTCATAACTTATGTTAACAAAACAGTTGTTATTGTTTTCCAGCATTTGTACCAGAATTATTTGCTACAGGCAATTGTCAACCTTAGAAATGTCAACATTTGGAAGCTTTTAGTAAGTACACTGCAGAAACTTTGAGGATTTTACATCGCAAAAATACGAACATTTTCATAAATCAGCTAACAAAAGGGTTATATTATCAAGAAAAAATAATCAAAGCAGATTTGATTTTATTAAGAAGCAAAAACAAAATAGTATTCTTAAGAATTTTCAGCTTAGTGGACTTAACCCAGACCAGACATCTTGAGTCAAGGAGTGGCTCATTGAGTACATTGAGAAAAACTTCCAAGGATCAGGACTTTGGAGCTAGTAAACAACGCCTGAATTGGGCTTGTGTATAGAAAACCCATCACTGGACATAAAGAGATAAATTTTAAATGACTCAAGCAGAAAACTATAGTGAAACAAAGAAAAGGGGATAGCTTTGGCCAGGAAGCCAAACAGGAAGTTTCGATGGGATTGTCAAGGGTAGACACGGCTTGAATTCTGTATTCTTGTGGGATTTTCAAGAGTGCATGGATCTTATATTATTACAATGTTGATATACTGAACTGTAAACAATGAAGCCATTTTAAAGACCAACATCACCCTACTTATCAAAATAATATCAAAATAAAATGAGGTAGGGTGAGAGAGAAGGACTCAACAGTGTGTCAAAGATTTGAAAATGATCTTTCCAGGGTTGGTCAGTGGGAAAAGCTAAGTTCTCATGTGTCAGATTAGGGACACGCTTGAAGTGGAAACAGATCATAAACCAGAAAGGAGGAACTCTGAGCATGACAGCAGAAGTACTCTGCTAGGTCTCTCATGCTTTAAGGATAGATACTTTGGTAGCTAGAGAGATAGCACATCAGTTAAATGTGTTTGCTACTCTTCCACAGTATCCAAGTTATGTTCCCAGCACTCACAGTGCATGTGTTATACAAACAGAGAGAGTCTCACTCACACTCATAAAAATGTTTTTTAAAAGAAGAGATATTTTAGGGATCTAGACAAGGGGTTGGTGAAACCTAGAAGCTTGGATAGTTAGCTTTAATAGAGTTTTGAGGGTCTTAAATGTTTTTTGACTTTTAAAAATTACCTTATACTAACAAAATATTCCAAATTTATGATGTTTAAATTTTCTTGGGCTGGGTAAGAAGGAAGCAAGGTCACTAACTAAAGCATCTATTCAAGATGGACACAGATGTCTCTTTCAAAGTTCTTTCCTAATGGGAAAGTGACTCTACATATACTCCATAAATATAAAAATAGTTTTGTTTTGCCTACCCTGAAGCATTTCTTATTACTGGAAATAAGAGTTAGATTTCCATCCAATGTAATTCCATCAGCAATTTCTTATAGACTTGGGTATTTCACAAAACCCCAAACAATCATTTTCAAACCATTCAGACAAATCCTCAGAGAGCAGAGACAAAGTTTGAAATTTCACATTTAATAATTTTCTGCATTATTTAAAGGTCCCATTAGCTTCTTTTTCAATGATGGTATGCTTATATAAACACAAGGAAGTGAATAATTAACTCAATTTCATGCATTTTTTTTAGGCTGAAAGTACTTTTTTACTTAATTATTTATGTATTTCAGGCAAACTTTTTTTTTTACTATTAGGTGACATTGGCAGAAAGGTAAAGACAATTTAATTGAAAGATAATAACAGCCTTACAGCTAAAACAAAATTGAGAAAACATTATTAGCATATAAACCAAACCAAAATTGTTCTCTTTATTTTTTTGAGAACATTTTGCAGTGACATCATAAAGAATCTTGAAACCTACCTTTGAAACCTCTGTATTTTAAACATGAAGAATCTTATCTTAGAGAAACGCAGTTATTAACAGTCACGTGGCTTTTTAGAATAAAAGCTAGACCTAGAGTCAAGTGTGGTGAGCTTCAGTTTTAGTGTTGTTTTACTGCAGGCCTCTTTTATCCGGTCAATTCTGGAAGCTTCTAGCTTCATACAGAATTAAATCCACATCTATCCCTTTGTTGAATCTGTGCAGTTTTGTGCATAAACGTGTGTGGAAAAAGATATTTGTGTCCATGAGAATAGATGTGTATTGGCCCTGTGTCCGTCTTCTCATATAAGTGTGAGAGTGTGAATGTGCTCACTCGGGAGAGAAGGAAGCAATGAAGCAGGTGATATTCAAACTGGGCAACTCAACCATGTTTACTAGGATAATTTACAAGGACATAGAGAGTGCACAGAACAAAGCCATGTTTCTTGGACAGCAGGTCAGAGAAAGGGTTCCAGAGAGTGTAACTTTAGAAAGAAAAGTGTTGTTTTTTTTCTTTAAAGATCCTATCTTTTTATATATAACTGTCTATATGTACACGTGCACACATGGATGCACAAGTGAGTGCTAGTACCAATGGAGGCCAGAGGCATCCTGTAACTGGATCTGCAGTTACAGGAGATTGTGAACCTTTATGGGAGCTGGGAATCAAACTTGGGTATTCTGCAAGAGCAGTAAGTGCTCCTAACTGCTGAGCCATCTCTTCAGCACCAAGGAAACTATCTTGTAGGATCTTACTTCTGTATGGCTGCCAGGCTTCCAACAGTGCCGCCTGCTGGTCAATTTTAATAAAAAATTAGATAACAAGGGAAATAGTGGATACAGTCCATACAGGGGAAGCCACAATGGGAAGAAATTAAGCAGGAAATGTAAATTGGAGGCATAGCACAAAATATTTGCACTGGAGGGAGTGGGGCGTGTAAAACACAAGAAATGTGGGGAAGACACATTACCGCTGGCGTAGACACTGAGTAAATGGGAAACTGCTGTGATGTTAAAATTGTTCAGAAGTCTCACTGCTAACTACTGCTCTTTAGAAACCTGGAGTTCTCCTCGGAGACCGAGTAGCTGACCATTTTGGATTCCTCTCCTGCTACACAGAAACGGAGGGGCGTTCTTACCGCTCCGAGTGATGATGGGACCAGCAGACAGCACCGCGTTGCCGGAAGTGCTCTGAGGAACCCAAGTTGTCCTGCCCTCAGCATCTCTCCTTTTTCTGTGGCCGCAAATCTGAGGTGTTAATGAAAACAAATGGAATTCCACACACCAGCACAAAATTGTTTCTTTATGGCCATTTGGAAAGCAGATTCTTTTGGAAGATACACCACATGTTTAATTTTATTCATTTCCTTCTGTGCATTTATTTAATTACTTTGCATATAACGACTACAATGTTTCTTCGTCTGGCTTGGACCACATTTCTTATTTCCTCCCTGTTGTAATTGCGCACTGGCTCATTAGTTTACATAGCTCAACAGCTCTCCTGAAAACGAGCTGTGTTTATCAAACTTTGCTACATTTATTTCTCTCAAGCCTTTAATAAATTCTTCCCTAAAACGTTGGTCAGCACAGACCGAAGGTAATGTGGACTCTGCATTTACCTCCATCTGATGCACCGAGTTAAGACCAAAGAAATCAATGAGTTGAAGAAATAACTTCATATTTATACATAGAGTGGGTATAAATATAAACATATTAAAGTTAATTTAAATTTGAAAAACTGCTTACATTTGTTCTCAGGTTAATATTAATGTAGTTCTAGGGGGCCTGAATAAAAGTTCTGAATTTTTTAAAATTCACTACTCACTACATCTATATTTTGATAGTGGTTTCATGTTATTGGATCCAGATCTTTCGGGAACTTTAACTTTTAATTGAAAGGATTCCTGAAACGTGTGGCGCTAATACACCTTCTAGAACGGACCTAACTCTCCTCATGTTTCCCTCCCTCTTCTGCTCCTCCCACCCTGGTACGTGATGGATTGTCTCTCACACTTGATCTTTGCCCTGCTGGGGTTCGTCCATCCTCAGAATCACAAGCCAAACCATCTTCTCTGTCTATCCCTCCAATTTTCTTCTCCTTTCTCAAATGACACTCTCTCCCTCTTACTACATTCCAGATACTCATCTGCCTTTGCTATTCCTGTTTTAGTCTTGTTTTTCAACCATTCTTTCCTGATCCTAAAATATAAACCAAGTGAATTCAAATCCATGATAACTACATCAACTCCGTCCTCATCTTGGCATAAAGTAAACATTTGATAAATCCTTACTGGATGAACAATCAAGTCATAGTTCACCCTGGCCTGTGACTTTCCTGAGATCTGGTAGTCATTCAGCTTAGAGTAATTCAGAGAGATAAAATACAGTTGGTTATAAACATACTGGCATGAGGAGGGGGCAGTCGTCAGCTCTGCAGAGCTTCGTGAGGCAGTGCAGGAAGACAGTGGACATTTTCTGATTCTTGTGTTTCACAAAACGGAACACTTCAAATGAAAACCGGCCCCGCTGGCTTCTGCCATTTTCAATGACGGTGGTCTGAGGATCTTTGTCACAGCTGTATTTTAGGGGATGTGAAAACAGGACATCATTGCAAAGTACCAATCAACTAGGACTTGTAGATTAATTTGTGTGGTACAAAGGACATCCTCATTGTATTATAAGATAAAAGGAGCTGGCTGTGATGAAAACAATGGAGAGAATGTAAATAAGTAAATCAAGTAGTTATAACAAATGTAACTAGATCATAAAATGTGAGCAGAGCCGTTGTTGATCACAGGATAACGTGTAGTTTTAGGAGCACCATACTATCCCAGAATTTGAAAGTCCAAATAATAAAAAATAAACAACACAAAATCACACTCCTATCACCACACCACACCTACATATAAACTTTATAGGAAAGACCATTGGATTTATTTTGTATTCTCCCAGGGTATATGAAAATAAGTATATATTCATATAAGAATATATTGTTACTATTAAATTAGTAGTTCATTCTACAGATCTTTCTACATAAGTATTTAAAGAGCACCCTCATTATTTTTAAACAACTGCATAATGTTCCAGTGTACACATATGCTAGAATTTATTTAGTCAACTCCTTATTTAGATACAATTGATTTCTTTGACCATTCATTGTAATGAAAAACTAATAAATACCCTAGAAGTACATTTTAAATGTGTATAAATATTACACATATCTCTAAGATAATTTAATATATATTACTACATTGTCTTCTACAAATGTTTCATTTTGGAGATATATACATATATGATATATAATACACATACATATTAGTGAATTGTTCTCAGCTTGATTCGTAGTAATGAGGAAATATGTCCACCTAATTTTAATGTACACTGTTCTTACTATGAATGAGTTTATCTATCTTTTCCTATACACTGTGAATTGTCTACTTTCTTTGCCAAAATGCAACTGTGGTCTTGGGCTTCATCCTTCTCATTCATAAAAGATTTTCATGTATTAAGGAAAATGGCTCCTGATTTGGTACACGTTTGCAAGTTGTCATATTTTGTTTTTTGACTTTATTCCAAGGTATCAAAAGTGTTTTATGTATTTTATTCTGCTACCGCTAAAGCTGAATTTTATGCATTTAAATTAATAATCTATTTGGGGTTTTACTATGCTGTAGTGAGTGAAGTATAGAACTGATCCTTTGTTGTTCAGACCTTTTCTTTTCATTTTTTAATTCCTGTTCATCCCCTCACACTTGGGGCATTGTCCACTATGAGACACTGAATTCTCCTGTTCTGAGATCTACTTCTGAACTTACCACTTAATACTTGCTGTTTGTTTCTAGCACAACACTGCATCCTTTGCTGGTTCTAGAGCTTTTGCTGTGGGATCTAGTGGACCATGCTCTCTGGTTCCTATTCTCACTCCCTACCTGACATTTTGCATTTTTTATGTGTCAGAAAGCCATTTTTCCTTTATTACATTAGCCTGTGACTATTGGTTTTTTCAAATACTCTTTTCTTTAATATATTTTAAATTGTTAATGTACTTCATTTTTAAATCAAGTATTAGTTCTGAATTTTAGAATGTCCAAGTGACAAGACATTCTATTTTATGATATTATTATAATCACTGTCTTAATACACAGACTATTTGTGTGTTGTGTGTGCGACAGTATGTATGTGTATAAGTGTGTATGAGTATGTGTGTGCACATATGTGAGAAAGAGTGTGTGTGCATACACAGTCACATGTCTCTGTGTGTGCTTATGGATGCACACGCCCATAGAGTCCAGGGGTTGAGCTCCATTGCCCTCCTCAGTTATTCTCCACCTTATTCTTTGAGACATATTTTCATTCTCTGATATCAATTAAGCTTCCTGAGGGATAAAATCTCCAACTTCTATTGGATTTTTGACTATATCTTCCTCAATTTCCACTTTAGGAAACCTTAAATTTCACCTAGCATATCTTTTCAATAACAATAAGTCAATATGATTTTTTTTCAGTTTAGTAAAGTACCCTTAAATTGTATTTTTAAATAATGGTCTATTATTTTGAATCCTTTAGGAGGAATTTTATTATAATTTATATATTTTGTATATTATAATATGCACACAAATGCACATATGCACACATAAGTATATATTTTTTATTCCCTTTACCTACCTTTCTGTCTGTCATTTCTACATTAATCTCCTCTTTTTGTCTTTATAGTTGTTTCTTTTTATTTACATTTTTTTGTCTTTCATACTTTATGCTCTATTACCATGTAGATCTACTCCTGTGAATATATTCCAGTCACATCTTCCTTTTCCATCTTAAATTTGTCCAATTCCCTTTTGATATCCTCAAAGCCCTACATTCTATTTTTCTATTTTCATTTTCCCAAGTTCCTACAATTCAATCGTTATTGAAGTTCCCTTTTGATAATTTTAAAATCATTGTTGAGATGTTCAGTTACAAATGTTTTCAGTTCTGTATTTCTTTCTGATGAACTCATATTTAAAACTCTTTTTCTGACATTTTCAATTTTTTTTCTTCTTTTAGTGCATTGAGACACTGGAAAGACATGCCCGCCCTTGACTGTGGTTCCTATCTGACGCATTTGGATTTAGCTGAATTTGCTCCTTGCAGAGATACCTGAAGCAAAGCAGAATGGTAGTAACTTTCTTCACGGTGGCTGAAGCTCAGGGGCTCCATGCTTCAGTTTTATAATGATAGAAGCATTTAGCCACATTGCAGTTCTATAGCTAAATTCTCTCTGCCCGTCTGAGCTTGGAGAAATGCAGATAATTAATTGACCACCCTGCACTACAAAGGTAGGGGGTGACAGTCACAGGGGAGTCTTTGCCTTTCTAATGGGTTCCTTTCCTTCCACTTAATGAGATCTACCACTGTGGAGTCTCCAGGCACTCTCTCCAATGTCATTTCTGATGCTCCCCATCCCTGGCAGCAGAGGTCCAACATCTCCAATTCAGAAAAGACTCCTTCTGGCCACATTCCTTAGAGTTGCTTCTATAATTTGCAATCATCAGCACCCATATTTTACCCTTTAAAATTTCCACTAAGAAACCTGAGATGATTTAGAAGTTGTCATCATATTTATTCCATGTTTTGTAATTCTATATAGAAATGTTGGAAAACAAATATCAAATCAAAATGACACATAATCCTTCCACTTATAGATGCCCACAGTGAGCCTTTTGGCTTATAGTGTTTTCTTTTAGATAAATGAGTTTCAATTTTTCTTAATACACTTAAATTTTTAGTTTTTAGGAATGAAAATATCAAGATGAAAGGGCAAAAAGATATAATAAAATTGCTTATTTTTTTCCATTTAATAAGTAACCACATGATAGCAACACCAGTGTGAACTCCCTGGCTTATTGGTCCTCTGCCATTCACTTGGTCATTATTTTTATTGCTGTATATGCAGTGTACTCCCATGCTTTACTATTTCAATCAAACTGATAGACTAGAATATCATAAATACTGCAACATACACTTCTCAATTTGGAAAAATGGAATCAAACAATGTGAACTCTTTCAAGCCTTTTAAAACACACTGACATCTTTTTTCTCCAAAACTTTGCTGAGATTAACATTTCCAGAACTCTAATATATTAAAAGTGGTAGTTTGGCCATACCCTCAGGACACCACCCTAACCTTGATTAACCAATAAAGCATTCTTTAGTTTTCCATTATGTTACTCCCATCATGTGTCAATAACTGCAGTGGTCTGAGCCAACTGCATTTTACAAGCATGACTAGAAGACATTGCTTAACTCTCAGGTCTATTCTATTGTCAGATAAAAATGCTGAAAGGGAGCTGGAATGATTGAATGCTCTTATGATCAATGTCCCCTTTCACTGGACATAGATTGCATTCACTCTATCACTGTCTAGTGGGGAACAAAGTTGAAGTTATTGGCTCTGGTATAAAAGGAGTAGCAGGCTATATTGTACTTTCATATTAAATACTGATAAATGAACAAAAGTGCTTTGGGTTCTAAATTATCCAACCATTACTTTAATTTCACTGTCTTTTTGACATATGATAAGATGGTGTAGCTGCCAACAAACAATACCATCTGGTTTCCCCTCTTTTATTGAGAATGATAACCTTACTGTACTATTCCTAAGACAATGAAATATCTCCTTTCTCCTAAACATGAATATGTTAGCCTTATCAGCATTTTGTGTTGCAAACTGTCCTTAACTTTTGTACTGAAGACTTACAAGTTCAAACTGCAAAAATTTAAATTCAGCAGGTATAGAAGTGCTGTATAATTTGGTTGTCTGACCAACATATTACATTTAATCACCTATAACAGAGTCTTTAGTTTCAGAACAAAACTTAGACACCTACCTAAGGAAGAGATCATACCGAGTATCATCATTTGGGTTCCCAGATGGAGTTGTGTAGCAATAATCCATTAATACATTCCATCTGCAAAGAGGAACAAACATGATCTGGTGTCAGAGTCCTCCCTGGAGCACTGGTAACTAATGCAAAGAAAGTATTAGCCAAATTCTTACCACATGAATCATATTTTCATTACTTGCTATTTGTAGAAGTTTCTTGTTCACTAAGAATTTCTCTAAAATCTACATATTTAAAATTCTGCAACAGTTGTCAAGTAGGATGGAGACTAATGTCACAAATAACAAAAGATAAGGCAGGAAAATGATTAAAACTGGAAGGAAAAAAACTAACGCACAGATAAATTTCCATTTATCGAAGTTACTCTAACACCATAAAAATATAGTAATAATAAACACAGAAAATGAGTTTGGTGTATAAATTGACTCAGTAGGGGTAGAAGTGGGATTTCCTGATGACACTTTATTAGAAGAAAGTGATGAGATGGGTACATAACTTTATTCCACAGGGTCATATTGAAGTAATGTTTACGAATTTCATCATTCCAGATCCGTGCATTACAAAAAATTAAAACAACACACTACCATCGGTAGTAAATGTCAATAATATGAGAAGAAATTCCTACAGTTGGTAAAATGATTTTAAACAGTTGCATGTTGTGTAATCCATTGTTTAGAGACAGGGGGAATGTGAAGAGGCACCCCATTTCTAGGATATACCAATCTAAGGTATATTCTAGGAAATCCCAAATTTAAAACATAGTTTATACCCCCCAAATAAACCATCATGCATTACATAGCATTAACAGGGTTCAATTAACTCTTTGGCATTTGAGTTTTCTTAAAAGATCCTTTTGTTTGCTCTGTTTTTGTTTTGTTCTTATTTTAAACAGTGGGAAGTTTGGGGGGCCACTGGAAGTGGGATCAGAATTTATCCCTAGTGCAAGAGCTGCCTTTTTGGAGCCCATTCCCTATGGTGGAATATCTTGCTAAGCCTTGATACAGCGGGGAGGGGCCTGGCCCTGCCTCAACTTGATATGCCAAACTTTGTTGACTTCCCATGGGAGGCCTTACCCTGCCTAAGAATGGATGGGAAAGAGAGGAGAGAGGATAAGTAGCAGGAGGAGAGGGAGGGGGAACTGTGGTTGGTATATAAAATGGAAAAAAAAAACCTTTTAAATAAAAAAAAAAACTGTGTCATAATATGATTCCTTTTAGTTTAGAGGGATTTTTCTTGAGTTTTGTTATTTTTCTTTTCTAGAAAATTTGAGTGAATTTACTAGACAGAATTTTCTAGACAGTTGGCTTGTCTGTCTGTCTGACTGTATGTTTGTTTGTTTATTTCAGACTTCTCTCCGGAAACTCATATTATTTTAGCACTGACTCTTACAACAGTCATTGTGTGATGTTAAACATGCACACCCAGGGGCAATGCACAAATCCCAAGTGTATCAAATGTCATTAGGTTAGTCACCTTTTCGATGAAGAACTATAGAACATTCTGGCGTCCCAGAAGATCTCCACGCCTCTTTCAGTCACTGCTTCCCATTGTTTATGGGAAGTCTTGTTATTTTTCAATTAATGACATAAAATGAGTAGCTCTCCCTTAGACCTCATAATTTGTTGTTTACTTTTACTAGCTTGACTTAACGGTGTGGCGATGACCGTCATATTTCAAGTAATACTTCAGAATGAATAAGCTAACATTATGACTGAGGAAAGTTAGGTATTTTAGCTAATCAAGATATGAGTGCACAATTACCTTCCGTCCAGATTAGTAGCTTGCACAGCTGCAAATACTTTGGTTTTCAAAGGTAGTCCTATACTTGGGATAATTAATTGCTCTCTGTAGGTTGAATCCTAATGATGAAATAATAAACAATCCACGTTATTATCTTTCTATCAATAGAACATTTACTGTTTGAAACTGTTAAAGAAACAAAGAGCAATCAAATCAACATATATCTACATAACTGATTCCAAAGAGATTTATTTTACCCTCATCTTGGCAGAACTTCTCCTAACCCACATGAATACAAAGTTTATTTCGGGGCATAAATCATCTTTGTTTCCATGATTTAATCACATATGGTTGTTAACGTTCAGTACAATAAATTATACTCAATAGTTAGTGGTTACTATTAATTTGTTTAGTATCCAATTACCAATATTGAGTTGATTTAAAATATGATTTCATTTATTTATATTAGTCACTAATTTCAGTTTTCTTTAATTAAATGTGCTTCAATTGAAGCATTTCACTGTTGGAGTGTCAGGTGCTCGTTTTTGTAATCTTTCACTTATCTATAATTCTTTCTGTGATCATCTAAAATTACCAAAATTTATATTAAAGTCAGACAGAGGGAGAGAGAGAGAGAGAGAGAGAGAGAGAGAGAGAGAGAGAGAGAGAGAGAGAGAGAAGTACAGTCTCTGAGTTGTCAAAATGTCTGCTGTAGAAGTCTTGTCCAAATTTCCTTGTCCTTATTTTAGAGCAACTCTGAATAAGGTATTCCTATCATCCCCCACGTAGTAGTAGGTTAAAGCAGATTAAATCAGATATTAAAAAGTTGCATCTCTAACTTGATAATAAAGAGAAATAAAGAAATATATAAAATGTCAAAAGAAAAATTCCTTGAAATCTAAGGAATCAGATCATTTTACTTTCAAAAACTTGTTTTCCAGAGTTAGTATTTCTAAAGAAATTGCTGTTTTATGGCGAAATCATTTTTAACGTTCACTTTGAAATTTTAGTCACCAAAGAATATGGAGAATATTGTGTTTATCTGGCTGGACAAAAGCAGCGTATTTAGAATTTATAGCATTAAAACAAAAAGATTTGGATGTTTGACATCTGAAAGAATTGCATCCACACAGGAACATTCCATTCCTGAAACAGCCAGGTATACGAGAAACTGCATGTTACATCTGGGGAAACATTAGCCCCAGTATTTCTTATTACTGTCTACATTTCTGTGGCAAGTATCAATGACTTCTACAGCCATGGCAGAGAGCTAGTATTTCTTTTTATGTTTCTGGATTCCTTTTCCTATGACTTCAAGTAAATTTCAATTCATTACCTATCTTGTTCCTGCATCTTATGTTGGCATTAATATTGTCCCAAAGAATGCTGACTTCCTTCACAAGAAATAAGCTCATAAAACATTTGCAAATGATACACAGCCCCTTTGTGGTTGGGTCATGAGTCATCAAATTTTTTCATCACCGTTTGCATGGCCCTATTTATTCAGCCACTCAGCAAACACTAATAGTTGAATACAATTCAAACACAAAAGGCATCCTTGCTTTCTATTTCCACAAAGGAGAAAACAGTTGCTTTTATATTACACAAAGAGAAGGCTACAATTCTAGGTAAAATAATTTTCATACATAGAAAATTCATCATCAATAAAAGTTATTTTTTAGAAATGTAACATTCCCAAGCACATAGACTATGTCCTATTATACATAAACACAAAAGAAGAAAGAGGGTTGTGTCCAGACAGTGTGCAGCTGTTTCTGTCCTAACAACAAATGAGAGAAAAGAGTTCAGCAGTAGGCATGTAAAACAACTTGAAAGGATGCCTAGGGACTTACAAAAAAACTTCTCTAGGGGAAAATAGAATTTCTAATGGCTGTAAAATGACATTAAAATTTAAATGCTACAATACAATTACAATTGGGTGACTAAATATTAATATCCCAAATAAATAATAAATGTGGCTTGGAATCAATTAATGAAAGTATTCCAACATTTTCTTTTCTAAAGGGAATTCATAATTTTTAATGTCTTGCTATATACCAAAATAATATGATGTTAGACCAGTTTGCGGCAATGATATTTACATAAGACAGCAATGAATGAAGCATGTCCTTATATGAGCCATAGAGCATACAATAGGAAGGGTGAAATAAATGTAAGTGGTCACCTTAGCTAACAGTAATGTCTCCACACTAGTTCATTATTTTTAACAAATATACCCTACTAGTAGAAGACACAATAATAGAGGAAATTATTTACAGGGGTAGGAGGGTATGTTGGAACGTTCTCTCATTTTTTTTAAGTCAAATTGTCTACAAACATAAATTTGCTCCAAAAATGGTAAATCTGTTAATTTAAAATAATTTATAATATAGCATAGGGAGAGTTCAGTGGTTAAAGATCTTGCTGCACAGGATAAGGATCATTCCCTCCAAAGACACATAAATGTCAGCAAATCATTGTAGCCCACTTGAAATTCCAGCATTCAAGAAGCTCAGACAAGGGAATCCTTGACTATTCAAGGAATACTTAGACTAGCCCCATTGACAAGCTCTGGGTTCAGTTGAGAGATCCTGACTCAATAAAGTGAGAAAAGATAAGAAGACTACTGGCAATAACCTACCTAGGGCCTCTACACTTACTTCTGCACATACACATATCTATACACACAGAAAAATACATATACACCAACATGCTCCACACACAGACACACATAAAAGAATGAAAAAATTATTGAAAATTATTAAATTTTAAAATGTAATTCATAAGAAATTTCTAAAGTTCAATTTTTATCTTAATCATTAATATTTTTATTGAAAACTGATTAAAATTCAAATTTTAGCACTCTTTCATTTATAATATGAAAAAAATGATTGCCTTCTACTAAAGAAATGTAATATAAAGATTATTATTAAGTTATAGGCTTTTATTTGGCACCAAGAAAAACTGTAGGAATATGCTTGGGTAACAGTACTATCACACTATTTTTAGTGGTAAAGGTAAGTTAACAAGAAGATTGTCCTCATATGTACCATCATATGTAGTCTGATTTTCTACTTTTACAGTGGAAAAAAAAGTAGTTTAATTTCACAGGAAATAAAGAAACTACTGAGTGGCATATGGATGTATTTTTCACTATATTAATAACGGAAATTCTCATCTCTGCTTCACTCAGTAACCTTGAGTATTGTTGACTTCAACATGATCCACCTCAACTCTGTCTCAGAAAGTTTACACACAGAACTCAACAGGGAGAAATCTTGTCATTTGAAGCTATTTTTATAAATATTGCACACAAAAAATAACAAATATTTAGCCACCCTCTGAACAAAACATTAGTACATAGTTGCTAAATATACAGAACCAAGTAGATCGGTAGAGTCTCTTTGCAGAAGAAAGTTTACAAATGACAGGAAGGCAATCTTCAGTTCAACACATTTTAATGTGTTGTTTAGAACTCTGTGGTGTCAAACTACAAACTTATAAACATGATTTTTAAATGCCTTTGGAAAATGTCCTACTACAATATTTATAGCTCATTATATTCAAAGGATAAAGCACTGACTTTTAAATCAGTTGCATGAATTATAACTCAGGGCCATGATGACATGAATAATAATGCAAAAATCAGATTCATAATTTACAAAAATGTTGGTTGATAGATTGAAAAATTGATATTTAAATCAGGCATTTAAAATGTATGAATAAAATTTTAATCAACATGAAAATATCATTTGGGGGATTAATGTTACAGTTATAAATAGAAATCCATGTATTTTTCACGTGTTGCTGCCACTCTTGATATTTACATGATAAAAGTTTAGACAATGCTATGTCATCAATCCAAATTATTTCAGATGTGACAGAACTGTCATCAGCCAAAACCCATGTTCAAAATATTAACACATTCATCACCAATGATGACTCCAAGAGAAGTATCATTTGAACTGTGTATATCGTCTCACAAAACCTTTATTCCCCCAAATCTTAACTATGAAGATACACACACACACACACACACACACACACACACACACACACACACACGTGCATACATATATACACAGAGAGAGAAAGAGATGCAAATAAATGTAGATGGGTTCTTGGAGTAACTATTGCAGAATCACATTTATGGTATGAAATTTCTATCATTTATCAATTTTAGAAAATTTAACAGAGCTTATAGTGCAACTTTATAACTAAGATATATGAAAATGAAAGTAAATATGGATAAATGTTACCAAACTACATCAGGGTTAATGTGACTTTCAGTGGGTTTTTATAGAAAGGCTATTCATATAAATGATTCCTCACAACAGTAAAAGGGAAAAATAACGTCTTTCACCCATCAACTTACGTTATAAAGGAGCAAGTTCAAAGTGCTGACAAATGTTCCATTGTTCTCTCTCACAGAAATAGCAGCTGAGGACCTAAAACCAATTTGAAAGAGGAAATGTACTAATGAGATTTTAAATTAAAAGTTTTATTTATACTCAGATGTTAGATTTTAGAGAATAAACTCTTGAGTTAGCTTGATACACTTTTAACTAGGCCTTCAATAGGTATAGTATTTAAATCATCAAAATGGCACGCTATAAAAAAGTAAGGGAGCTCAAATAAAGACAGACTGTCATTTATGATATTTCTATTGATAAAGTCATCTTTTTATTTGGCATTACATATGTAAGATATTTGGGGCTGGAAAAAATTTCATTTCCTAAGAACTTAAATTTGAGGCAAGTAGATTGTCATCAATTTCACAAGACATTCTATGAAGTCGGGGATTTGTTCAACTTTTCTCATGCTAGAACAAACAGAATATGGTAAATAACAGGGTTTGATAAGCATTGATTGAATAAATGGACACATTCCTTAGATATGCCAGGCGAAGATAGAGTGAGGGGTGCACCCCCCATGCCTTTATCCTTTAGCCATGGCCTTTCCACATCTAGACTTTGCTTTTGACAGAGCATACCATCAATGTACTATGAAAATGTTCTGTATTTTTTAACCCTGAAACAAAAAGTAACTCCTTTATTTCCATGTACTAAGATTAAATGATAGTTAGACTCTTATAACACAGACCCTCAAATTAGAGAAGGGAGCTTAGCATTCACTTATTCCATTGTGTGTCAAAGTAATCGACAAATGTAGGTGTTATGTTGTGGACATACTGTGTCTTCATGTGTGTATTTTTGGAAATGATCAATAAGGACGTGGATATATTCTATAGCTCCAGTCCTTGTCTAGAATTGCTTGGGCCTACTTCATGGCATACATCTGTCCTCCTCTGCAAAAGTCATGAGAACTCAGAGTCTGGAATTATAGAAGCCCACAGTGAGGGCAAGTGGCAGTTGGGTCAGGCAATGTAGTGACCAAGTGTCCTATGCATTGGAAACACTGCAAAACTACATAAGCACAGGGCTTTTGAGAAAGGAAATAAGAACAATACTAAATAGATAGATCATAGGTAGGTAGGTAGGTAGATAGATAGATAGATAGATAGATAGATAGATAGATAGATAATAGCTGATTAGTTTATTGATAGAAAATTAGCTATATAGAAGATAGATAGATAGATAGATAGATAGATAGATAGATAGATGATAGATAGATGATACAGAGAGATGATAGAAATAGATGATAGAGAGACAATAGAGATAGATAGAAGATAGAAAGATAGAATATAGACAGATAGACAGATGGAGAGACAGATAGATAGATAGATAGATAGATAGATAGATAGATAGATAGATAGATAGATGATAGTTGGGTCAGTGTTGCACTCCATTACATTGTTTGAATGTGACTACAAGCCCATCAAAAAATATGAAGCAAGCATAAAGAAAATATGAGATAACAAGAATAAAACATGAACTCACGAAGCAAGCTGCGTGTTATTAACCAGGTATTCCAATGGATAACTACAGCTAAATTTGTAAAGGAGCCCAGGAAGATAGCTGATGATTGTTGGTGGGTCTGGAGTATCAATATATCCTGAAATATTTCCTATCTGTACTGAAGTTGCATTTCCAGAAGCACCGACACCAGGAATCGTGGACACCTGTTAGGACAACAAATCAAGTTCAATGATTAAATGTTCATATCTGCACATATATGCACTTCACATGCAAGTAAAGCATTTGACCACCTCTTTCTCATTTTGGTTCAGCTGTAACCTGCTGTAGAATTGAAAATATACAAACCTTTATGAAATGTATAAGTGACAGTGTGTCTTTTAAAGTCAATGAAACCTTATGTGTGCCAAAGATACTTGACTTCTACTTATTTTATAAGAAAGGAAAAAATTACATATGCAGAAGTCTACAATGCATTTCTAAAAACCTCATTGATAAATCCCAACTTTTCTGACATGACTTAAAAGATTTGTTTTGGCTCTGTTTGCTACATGACTTTTGTAGCTCCAGACTTCCCCATGTTATTCTTGTTGCTGTTATTGTTGTTGTGTGCATATGGCATGAGAGTCACAGAGCACATGTGGGGTTCAGAGGACAACTTTGTGGTGTTGATTCTTTCCTTCTACCTTTCTATGGTTCTGTCAGTAGAATACAGGTCTCTGGGCTTTACCTGCTGGGCCACCTTGCCAGCCTGTTTAGACTTCCACACTGGATACAGTGCTCCTTCACCAAAGCCCTCCTTGCTCTGGCCTTTGAGCATACCCCCTCAACCACCTCTCCTTTTCACCTCATCAGAACCCATTACTCATGTATAACACTGTGTCTTCCCAAACCTTCTGACTTGCCCACATGCATTATTTCTCTCCGCAGGACATGGGCAGCCTGATTGCTTTGCATTCCCTCAACCATCCTCAGAATACCTGGTGGTCAGAGTCCATTTGTGTCTTCACCACAGTGCCATGTTGTGGGTCTTACAAATAATTTTTGAACAAATAAATGCAAGTCACAAATCTCCTAAGGACTATCCTTTCCAATGTTTTCTTTGGTAGATCAAGGAGATTCCCATTCTCAGACAAATTTCAAGGAGACCACGAACTCCTGGAAGTTATAGGGAATGTTGCTTACGTTTGTGTTTCCTAACACTGCTTAGTTTTCACTGGATTCCCCAATACTACTAAAACTGAAAAACTATCATCTTAGGAATAATAATGTTTATGATTTTCATGAAACCAAGGAAGAACACAGTTGTTTTCTCACCATGCCAAATATCACACAACATTCACTAAATACTTTTAGGAGATAGCTCTGTAAGAAGTAATACTAGATCTTTCAATAATAGGATAAACTTCATGCATGATCCTAACAGTACACAGGCAGGGCTAAAGCAAAGATCTAGCTGTTGCATGAGGGAAAATCAATAGGAAGAGAACATTTGTTTTAATTCCAACCTACTGATACAGTAGTCTATCTACTTTTTCTCACATAGGAATGTCCTCCAAAAAGGCTCCAATGCTGGTGATACCAGAGATAAAACATGAAAATTAAGAAAGCCTCTCTTCCCTCCATCATTTATCTGACTTACTAGGTGAGTATATCAGTTCTGTAAAACACACACACGCATACACACACACACACACACACACACACACACACACACACACACACACACACACACACACGCACACACACACATTTTTTATATCAGCCAGCTTTCCGAGATGTGAAAAGCACACATGTGTGAATAGCATTTCCCCTGTCTTTTCTCTAGAGTTCTTTTCTATCTAGCAAGGCAACAGTGACTTCAATCTATGAAAGTGAGGTTTTGAAATACAGTGGGAGGATGGGAAATTCTGCTGGTCCCTACCTGTACTCCCTCCACTAGGAAACAAAACATGCAATAATCAACTAACCGCCCTCTCCCTTAGGCCTGCTTCATAACCTCTGTGAACACAACTCAGAGAGATGAATAAACGTTTTTAATAAAAAGAGTCAACAATACACAATCTGCAGGCTTGGAAATGGTCATGGGAACAATATTCTAACTGCCCTTTGGGATAAGATAAAGAAGGAGATTCAAATAAATCCCTTTCCTGTCTGCTAGCTCCCACCAAATCTTAGAAACCATGCCCTTAGAATAACCAAGCCTTCCTTTTTAAACCCTAGCAATATTTTTTGAAAACTGAAAGCCAATTTTTCCTTCTTTACTGTGCTAAATGATTATGTGTACAGCACCACTTTTGTTAGGATTTATTGATAAGATATTTGAGCTAGCTAAATAAAATATAGTACTAGATGAAATTTAATGTAATTAATGCTCCCACCACATATTATTAATTTCAATTAATTTTCATTCCCTGGTGTGTCGATTTCTTCTTTAATTCTATTTTTGGTATAGAGTGAACTAATAAAATAGTAAATTATATTAATTATGAATTCTCAGTCAGGGTAAAAATGTTCAAAGCACTGCTTGGGTTATCAAAATAACTGGAAAGAGGTGTTGCCAGAATTGCATGGGTAAAACTGGATATGATAAGTATTTTTAAATGCAAGGGCCAGTTCCACACCAAGAAGAACTTCACGCAAGAAACACAGCCTTCTTACAAAGTATGAATGGCAACTAGTGAAGGGTAAACGTGAAAAAAGAGTTCAAGTTTTTCATCTATATTTAATATTTCTTACTGAACGGGGTCATTAGAGCTAGATCATAGCAAAAGGACAAAAACTGTTCTTATGATCTGATGCATCCATAAAGTGTAGAGTATGGCTCGTGGTTAGAGATGTCCACCGATGTCAGTCTAACAGAATACTGCTTAGAGTAGCTCAGCCCATCACATGCCTCTCCACGGCCCAGCTCCTATCAACACAACCATTATTAGAAGACAGAATTGTATATTTGGGAGTTCAAACTTCCAACAGGCAAAAGAAAGTGAGTTGTTTGGCTTTATTGGAATTTTTTTCCTGAAGACAGATTGGGCTCCTGATTATTTCATGAAATGGGAGCTTGTTTATTTATGACCTCAGATATAGCACAGGATTTCATAGTAATCTTACCACTAAGTTGTTTCCACAACCCTCCAAGGTGCTGAGATTAATGATGAAAATGACCACTGCTGGAAAGGTGTTGTTATTGATGAAGCCCCTGCAGTGGGAATCCCCATGCCTTCCATTCAGTGCCAAATCTGTTTCAGAATAACCCGAAAAAAGGACTGTGCAAAAATTAATCTTCATTGTAATGGCCTGCACTCCACAGTAGACACTGATGTCTCTTTCAGCTGAAACAAAAAATACATAAAAGCAAAAGTAAGTCATAAAAGCACAGTAGAACACAGGCGGATGACTTGAGTGTTCCCCAGTTTACTTACCGTCTCCTTTTGAGTCTTGATCCAATGTGCAAGTCATTACGAAAAGTAGCCATGAAAAATAGTCATTGATTTAGTTGTTTAAGGGAGACTTTTTTGACTATCATAAGTCACCTCTGTTTCCTTGAGCCTAATGTTCAGAGGGTGTGCATGAAATGTCAGTCTCGCACTGCTGAATGACAGGAGAATTGAGTTGGGGAAATCAGGTTACTGAGGAAATTTAGGAGTAGAGTAACTGAATTATTCAGATCTCCTGTCTAACGTGAAGCAGTACAAATGATGTGTTTTCTCAAGAGAAAGGAAGCAGTTAAAACCTGCCCTCTGCCAAATTATTCAGCACATTGCTATTCGGTAACTCTTGCCATCCAGGATATAGAAACAAAAGCCATCTTGAACAGGCCCATTTTATTTAGCCAACAGTAAATCATATTAGAGAAAGAAAATGAAGAATAGTGTAGTTATACTGTGTACAAAATGCACAGCTTGCTTTAAGAGAAATGTTTCCAGTGATTATGCATGCATTAGTTGGGCATAGAAAAGCAAAACATAACTTGCATGGTTCCCCATGGCTCTGTTATTTCAAGAAGCATTTTAGACATGAATAAGCACATGCATAAACATACAGCACACAGAGAGAAAGAGAGAGACAGACAGACAGACAGACAGACAGAGACAGACTTTTCATGCCTCTAGCCATTCTTCTACAAATAATAAAGAAAAATTAATAGAAAAAGGAGAGTTCACAGTATAAGTAATTCCTAGCAGCAGATTTTACTTTCACTGAGCATTGTCCCATCCCAAGACTTTATTTGAAAATGGGATTGCTACAAATTTAATTAGTTAAGTGATGATGAGGTCACTGCAGTAGAGTGAGCTCCAGTGGAATATGACTGATACATTTAAAAGACTGAGGAAGAACATGAGCTGATGACAGAAGAGCAAAATGATGTGTTTGGGAGCCCAAATACACCAAGACTGTCTGGGCATCACCAGGCCACAGAGGGACAGGAAAGGGTGCTTGTCAGACCCTTGATGGGAATGTGGCTACACCCTGATCTTGAATTTCTGGCCTTCAAAACTATGAGATGATCATCCATGGTTTTAATTCACCTTGTGAGTCAACATGTGCCCATTGGTTTTAAATCACTTCCTAGGTGATACTTTGCTGTATCCGTGCAGGAAATGAATACAGTAAGTTCATGACCTTTGACATGGCTTCCCATTAAAATGAAGAATCTGAGACAGGCATCAAATTGACACAATGTAGAAACAAACAGGAGATGATTGGACTACTTTGATAAATTACCTTGATTGTTTAAGAAAAAAAAAAAGCTCAACAAAGTAAAATGATTTTGACATGTGATATAGAATGTTCATCTGAGAAATATGTAAATCTCATTCAAGATATTCAGCAAAGAATTAATTTGCTTAAATAATTCAATCTTCAGCAGGGTGGTGGTGGTGGTGGTGGTGGTGGTGGTGGTGGTGGTGGTGGTGGTGGTGGTGGTGGCGCACACCTTTAATCCCAGCACTTAGGTGGCAGAGCCAGGGGATCTCTGTGAGTTCGAGGCCAGCGTGGACTAATAAGTGAGTTCCAGGAAAGGTGCAAAGCTACACAGAGAAACCCTGTCTTGAAAAAACAAAAAAATAAATAAATGAAAAAAACAACAACCAAATAATTCAATCTTCTTAATAGTGTCAGTAGATATTTTTGAAATATGATTCTCTATACTTTATACTAGTCAAATGAACTATATTTTGAGAAAGTGAATAAATCAATGTGGAAGCTTCCATGTTTGATAATAATCATAAACTCATTACAATTATATTCAATGACTAAAAATTTTGTTGTGGACAAAAAAACAATAGTAGGCTAGGTGTATTACAAAAATTCTAATAATTCATTCACAAATGGATACATAAGATGAATGAAAATATGCTTTGCCATCACTGAAGATAATAAAATCTACTTAATTTGGGGAATATCTCTCCAGCCTTAAGCAATATTAACCATTTAATGTAACCATAATTTTTAAGTGGTCCTTTTTTGTGGTGATATATTGTGTACCCTAATATACTTGCCTGAGGATCAGAAGACAGAGCCAACCACTAGATTAGACAAAGAGATCAAGCAATGGTGGCACATACCTTTAATCCTATCACTCTGGAGGCAAAGATCTGTCTAGATCTCTATGAGTTCAAGGCCACATTGGACTGCATGAGATTGATACAGTCTAGGAGAGAAACAGAGCTGGCAGTGGTGGCATACACCTTTAATCACAGCACTTGAGATCTCATGCCTTTGCTTGGGAAGCACACATGCCTTTAATCCCAGGAAGTAATATGGCAGGGCAGAGAAAGGTATATAAGGCGCGAGGAAGCAGGAACTGACTCTCTTTGGGCTGAGGGTTTCGTAGAGGTGAGGACTAGTGGCTGGCTGTTCTGCTTCTCTGATCTTTCAGCTTTCACCCTAATATCCGGCTATGGGTTTTTTTATTAAAAGACCACCTAAGATTTGAACAATGATCTTTAATAGAATAAAAGAGTTTATTTTAAAGGGTTTTATTGAGTATTTGTAAACCACTTTTGTCCCTCTTCCTTTGGTGTAGTTGGAAGCACTTTAATCCAACTGTCAACTTCTTATTTAAGCCCCAATTGTTGATACCTTAACTAACTCCGCAAGATTCTCCCTCATCTTTCACTGGCCTCACTCTACATTCAGTTCTCTGTATCATGCTTGCTCCCCATGTTTGTTAAGCAAAATATTTTTCATGTGTTTAAAAGTATTAACCCAATGAGTGAGAGCTGAGGAAAACAAAGCAGTGGTTTCCCTGGGAGATGATTTGTAACGTTTTGTGTATAAAGAGACTGAATGCATTTAAGCCACCTGCTTACATAGTCTGTGCACAGTTACACTGTCAACATGCCAATGTTTCTCATGGAGATTTAGACAGGCTAAGTGTCTCATTAAAGAACTGAAATACATGTTAATCAATCAAACTGGTAAAAATGATGCTCTGTATTCCTTCACCTATCAATGTGGCCATGCTGTAGCCTGATGCAGATTTACTGAAGTCATGCAAAATGTAAATGTGACATCACTGTGTCAAATTTCTAACTCTGACTCTTTTATGTTCTGATTTTTATGTTTGACTCTTGAGTGTCCTATGACTTAAAAACATAGTAAAGACTGACCTCCAGAACTTCTTTTCATACTGATGCTTCTGTTATCAGGTAAGCCTTTTGAGCGATTGCACGGCACTGATTAGTACAAATTTGCAGCCAGATTTAAGGATATTTCTATCTCAGTATCAGGAGATACAAGGATACAGATGATTTGATTAATTGCTCTGATCCATGTTCTTATAATTATATAATATAATTTGACAACATTAAGTCTTCTAACAGCACTGAAAGTTGATGTAGATCTCCAAGTTAAAGATTTGGGGAGGGAAAGGGAGAAGAGGAGAGAGGGGAAATTCTGGTTGGGATGGAAAATTAATTAATTAATTAATTAATTTTTTTAAAAGTACTAAGATGAGATAAAAATGAGTCAGGCCATCACAAGCTAGGAATTTGTGGCTTCATCTGTATGTTGCTGAATTGACACAAGTTATCTCTGAAGATTGTTCAGAAAAAGAGCAAAGGCAGCTCTACTTATTAAATATATGTATAATGTCCTGCAAACACGTTTGCTAATATGTGTGGTCTAAAGACAAAAGTGCAATTACATATTAAAGGAATGGGATTTTACTCATGGAAAAGAAGTTGTACATCAGCGTTATTCACACACATATGCATATAAACACACACATACACAAACATATATATATGAGATATATATATATATATATATACACACACACACACACTGAGGTCCATCATGTCTTTAATCCCATTTATATGGTAAGTATAGTCTATGAACTCCCAATCAGGATACATTTTTTATACATCAGGAGTTAGATCGTTGGCAGAGTGATGGCACATTTATACTTTACAGGATTCAATCAATTTGCATCAGGCTAAAGGCATGATGACTGTGTAATGAGTATTACGTGACTGTGTAAACAGGTGTCTGGCTTAAATGTACTCAGTATCTTTAAACAGAAAAACTGAAAGACATGTTCTAGACTTTCATTCTAGAACTATTTTTGTTTTAGACCATGATCTACTATACAAAATTTACCAGTACATAAAATCCAGTAGTAAAAATCATGTACTACATTTGTTTTAGGCCAGAGGCTATTATAACCTTATTGTGTCCAAACTAAATGCTATCTCATGTCAATGAAAGATTCAAAAGTACATTTGTGATATACTTATTAGGTATCAGTCTCCACAACATACTGAGGATGCCCCATTATTTCAAGAAGGTTATGGACTGTGGTTCAATAAAGGAGAAAGTGGAAAAATGGCCCTCACAACATGGCCTGATGATATGGAAGCACTTTGTAAACACCATCTATCACCTACTTTGGTCAAATAAGGATGTTTGGAAAGAGCCTGTCAGTAAAAAGTGAAATAATTCCAACTGTCTAAGGCTTAGAAGGAGTTGATTAGGTGACGGCATGAAGAGTAGTGGGTGTCAATCACAATCATTTTTAGGAGGTGTGTGGTAGCCAAGGAAATTATTCCCTGAGATAAAGGATTCAGGGAAAATAAAAAAGGATAGAATTAGTTGTTGAGAGGCCAGTGTCTGTATGGGACACTCAAGACAAGATGGGCAATAGGTAATCAGAGAGAAGAGGAAATCATTTTCAGAGAGGAAAGAGCCAAAATGCTCATTTCAACTGTCTTCCTGTAAGCTCTATGAACAGTGAACTATGCTGATAACTGGAACTACTCAGGAGAACAATCAGGTAAAAAGAAAAATAAACTAATAACAGACAAAGTAACATCAAAGCTGTCCTTTT